TTAAACAACTCGTCTAGCCCAATGACCGGTACTGACCAGCAGGTTTTTCAATATCAGTTTAGTGGGTCTGAACTCTCAGCTGTGGGCTGAAACGAAGGCCGTCGTTAAGTATTGAGGCCTGGTTGAGCCACTCCCCTACCGGACCTAGTAAGGCTGATGATCTGTGTCTGACGACTCGACTGTCCYGAGGGATACGAACCCCTCCAAGGACCGGTACAGACCGGCAGGCTGCTCAGTGTGGCACAGTAGGCTGGACGGGCTGAGTTGTGGGCTGAAATCGCCAGAGGAACCAAGCTGATCGCGTCGTCCTGTCTGCGACGTTAAAGAATTCTTGCGAAGTTGGGGGATCTTCTAAAATACCTCCTGATCAGCTTTTGGTTCTGTAGGGACAGCCTTAGAGTAGTCTTGGGTTAGTTGCCTGTGGTCCTTAGGGTGTCAGTCAGTAGGTCAGTGTGTCCGGGTAGGTCTACGTGGTGAGGAGTGGGACCCCTGTCGTGCACCAACACCATGATGGATGACTATCCGATGTATGGGGTGCTTGTTGGGTTCTCCCTCTGGGGGACCCTCTGGCGTCTCCTTTTTCCTCTGGGCTTATGGCCCACTTTCACGTGTAGAGTAGGGCCCACTCGCGGTGGGACGTCCACCACCCCCTACACGAAGGAGGAGGAGGAGAAGATGGCCGCCCTTCTACAGGAGAAGAAGGAGAAGAAGGAGGCCCAGAAGAGGGCCTTGAAGGAGGAGCAGGCGGCCAAACTGAAGAAGATGGAAGAAGAAATGGCCAGAGAGAAAGAGAGGTTGAAAAAAGAAGAAGAAGAGAAGTTGAAGGAGGTGGATGAAAAAGAGGAAGGATCGCCACTGCAAAGGAGTAGTGGGCAGCCCAGTAGTAATACCGGTGGAAACCTGGAGAAGAGGATCTCTGAATGGGTTGCCAACCTGACTGTGGGAGAAGAGGAAGAGGTTAGTATGTACATCCCGCAGGATCAGCAAGAAGCCGCCATGAAGGCTTGGGAGGYAGAGAAAGACCCTCTGAAACGTCAAGCGTTGGAAGACCAGAAGAAGATGGAATGGAAATTAGCGGTGATGAGGGAGAAGAAGAGGAGAATTGACAAGGCAGCGGAGGCGGCAGAGGCCTTAGAAGAGGTGAAGAACATAGAGACGCAATTAGCCTTCTAGCCCGATCTCCCGAATCAGATGCGAGTCATAGCGCGGAGCGTCGCATGCCTGGCACGGGTTCAGGCAAACCAATATGACTTTAGCAGAAGTCAGGACATAGCTGTGCGCTCGATACGATTGGGCTTTCGAGACTTTGCTCGTGAGTTGGTAGGCGTCGTTGGAGTCAAGGTGGGTCACCGCCTCGACAAGACTGAGCGGTTCTGCGCCGGCGCCATTGAAGGCGTCAAGGCGGCAGCTCCCAAGGARGAGGAAGCACGTCCTCCTCGCCGGGAGCCTGTCAAAGTCAAGTTCCCCGATTCCTACAGCGGGAGGAGGG